ACTTACCCTCCAGTGATTTGTGTAGAAATGAGTTTACTTTACAATATTCTTACCCAGCATGCCCTGGCTCTTCCAAGTGAAGTCATACCAGGTCTTGATGCGATTCTGGACCTCTCGAGGAATATTATAAGAGTTCATGTACTTGACCGTGCTGTCCATGCATGACCTGTAGTAGTTTTCCCCTGCGGTTGCTGCAGCAACAACATCTCTCATCTAGGACATAGGTATAAAGAGATAAAACCATCCACATTCATGTTAATATATTTATTCAAGTGTCCAATTAAACTAATCCTCAATATGTACTGTATCGTTTTGGACTGCTAACTCAAATACTTTAAAGCCATTTCCTCTCATTTATGGGCTTTTTGACTCGTGTGCCACAATGGGTACTAAAATTTGACAGATCAGGAGCAGATAGAGTTCGTGTGATCTAAGATAAATTACACGCATAAAGGCGAAAATGCTAAAATATAGAAATATAACACAGAAATATAATCAAAACACAGTCCAATTACATAATTTGGACAAGTTTGTCAGGGCGGATTACAAAGCCAAATGGGCCGCATCCGGGCCCCAGGCCTTAGTTTGCCCATGCCTGCCATAGAATATTCCATAAAAATAATTTCCAGTGCACGAACTTGGGGTTTCAATTCACCTGACCAATCATGATGGAAAAGGCAAAGACACCGACAAAGTAGTTGATCATCTGGAAGATGATTTCAAAGACAGTAGTCGGGTCAGGCAGTCCTCCAATAGTGATCAAGGTCTTCACTGCAAAGTAGTAACAACGAATGTAACTGCAGACAAAGAAAAAAAATGTATATTATTGTTGTTGCTGCACATAAAACAAAACAATGGATATGTATGACTACAATAAATACCAATAAGGACGGTGTATTGTTTAGATATCAGATGCCTTCTACTTTGGAATGCTTACATACAAACCCTGACATGACAAATAGCAGATGCCCAAACCAATCTGCTGGCATTTTATGTCACCTAGAGTGCTATAGTTGTAACTTCCGGGCAAGACAGGAAGGGGGTTGGACCAAAACGCAGTTCTAAGGAGACTCTCTCCACAGGAAGGGGGTTGGACCAAAACGCAGCTCTAAGGAGACTCTCTCCTCAGGCGCAGCAGGTGGTTTATTCACAGTACAACTTCAACAATACACGAGAACGGAGCATTGTTTACAAGCAGGTTCTTCAGAAGAGTGGAAAAGCGACAACAAAGTCTCTCGGGCATAAAACATGAGCAGTGCTGCCCTGTACGGAAGTAGAAAGATCTTGCGGCTCCCGTTCAGTGGACTCACTGAAGAGTTTATGGTGACCAGAACATGGGAAATCCTGCAGTATATATGGAATCCAGGGATGTGAAGGTGGCATCGACCGGCATTCAGATTGGAACAGGCAGGAAATGGAGGGCAGACGAAGCTCTGGAAGTGGCACAGGAGGAAGTGTGGGCAGGAGAAAGAGAATGAACCAGCAGGATGGTGGGAATGAGGCAACAAGGAGCATGGACTAAATGGGTATACGTTCTGCAACGAAAAATCACCTGGTCCAACATCTGGAAAGCAGACACCCTTAACATCAGGTTTTTAGTCCAGGCTGGTTACGATGTACTACCAAGCCCAACCAACCTCCATGTCTGGGGCAAAACAGAGACACCATCCTGTCCTCAGTGTCCTTGGAGAATGGCGCTATCGCTTGTGCCACGACCAAGTGCTAAACGCGGTTGCTGAGAGTAAATTTATGCACCGTAGAGTGGTTGTCCAGGGATTGGGCCGTCGTGGTCTCCGCCCACAACCGCCACCCAAATCACAAGGCACCGTTGTGTTTGCTATACAATATATTTAATTGAAATTGCTGTTCCGAACAACCAATGATCCATAAAGGAAAATCTTGAAAATGGGCACCAGGGGTGCTCAAACTTTTTCATACCACTGTAGCCATGGTGATTAACACCACCAAGAGGCACAACAAGCCTAAGACCATCAGTTTTAACAGAGCCAAGAGAAGCCCGACATCCAACCAAGGGTCAGGTCAGGCCTCCTCACCTCCACCACTGACTGGCAACTGGAAGTGGATCTGGGCAATTATCAGGTTCACAATAGCATTTCGATTTTCAAAGGATGGTTTTAAATAAAATTCCTATCATGATGATAATTGAGAACCACTGCACTATTCCAATTTGTGACTTGAGACTTTTTTTGACAGTTGACACTTCAAAGAATCATTAGGCCTTTGATATCAAAGTTCTAATAAAGTAAGGAAACAAAGCATTGTAGGGATGATAATAATGGATAATGGACCTCAACAAGATGTAGAAATCTATTTGCAGATAACAGCGGCTTTTGAGTGCCAAAGAAAAAGCTTATTTTAGTAGCTCAAACGTTTCAAAGGGAGAGAACCATCTTTGAGGAGACACCACTTAGGCTACTAAGAAAATCCCTGAAAATAAAGGGAGAGAACCATCTTTGAGGAGACGAAGAAAATCCCTGAAAAGAAATCCCTGAAAATCATTTAGGAAGATTTTATGGAATATGGCTAGAAGAACACAGATGAGGAGGTTGTTTCAGTTTAGAGAGACAAATTATTCAATACAATAAATGCATTGAAACTGCATTTCAAAACGGGAATGTAAAACAATTTTGGAATGAAAAAGTATTTCACTCTTCACCCAATTATATTACAAGACATACGGACAGGTTATAAATGTCCACTAAACTTAATGCTACAACATTAGATAACATGTCCCACCTGAAATCAGTTTTCCAAGAGCTGTCAGTTCATCCAGATGCAAGGTTACGACCAGATATCGCTCGAATGTCAAGGAAGGAGCTGGAGGACCGTTTCCTGCAACTGTATGACGAGTCCTTGCTTTTGAAGCAACACATTCATAAACAGGATGACAAGATAAAGAAACACAGCACTAAAATGTTGAGGCTGATGAAAGATCGTAGTCGTACGGAGCATCTGGCAGTAGGAGGGGCACAGGGGTTTGCAAGAACCCGAAATGTGGAGATGGAGGAGATGCTCGAGGATCTACAGGATCAGGTCCGTGAACTCCAGACTGAGAAAGAAGGACTGAAACAACGTCTTCTTGTGGCTAAACACCAGTGGCTGAACCCAAAGGGCAGCAGAGCCCGTCCATACAAACAAGTTCAGTCTCGAGTCAATTCCGGATTAAAAAAAAGTGACATCTCTCCCTCTTCGGCTCATACAAGAGCAAGTCTACTAGAGGAGGCGAGGGCCAAGATTCATAATCTAGAGAATGTGATACTATCGCAAAGAACTCATGTGGAGGAGATAGAGGCAGAGCTACAGCAGCTGCGGGACGAAATGTGTAAGAAAGAGGCAGAATATGAGGACAGGCTCCTGCAGGTGCAAAAGGTCAACAAACTGCGGTCACATATCCACAACAACGTGACACAAATCAAACTGCAGAAAGAGCTGACTGATAAGTCAAACATTGTCACTGCATTGGAAGGTCAACTGCAGGAGCACAAGCAGACACTTAAAGCGGGTATACAGAAGTTGGACGAGTTCACAGAGCAGCTCAAACAAGAGAAGCAAAAGAGTCGAGAGCTTGAGAATCGACTGCAGATCTCCAATACCAAGTTGGAGCTGCTGCCGCAGCAGCTGACTGCAGTGGAGCAGGAAAGAGATCAGCTGCAGGAAAGCTATAACAAACTTCTTGACAGCATATTTGACGTCTCACAACAACAAAAAGGGCAAATCCAGGAACAACAGCTCAGGCTGCAGATTGTCCAGTTGGAAACTGAACTCAAGGCTGACCTTAGTGTTAAAAGCGATCTGCTTCAGAAACTGAAAGCTGAGTGTGAGACTCGTGAAAATCTTGCAGAAGAAAACAAAAAGTTACAGATACAGTTTCTCAAACAGAGAAACGAATTGGATAAACTGAAACATCGTGTGAAACTGCACACTGGGCAGAGTAAGTCAAATAAGGATAATAAACATCCAAGTGACTTGAGTCCGCCTGACCGCGTGCAGGAGAAAGAGTGCAACAGAGCGGATAGTTGGATTCAAGAGCATCAATCTGAGACCATCCCGGAGCTAGAAAAAGCCAAACAGCTCTTCTGCAAGGACAACAAAATCAGTGGCAACTATAAAGCCGAGTTAGAGGCACTGCAACAAAAAATGGATAGTGATAGAGATATTTACGAGCAGAAGCTGGAACACCAGACTAAGCTGCTTCACACGAGCATGGCGAAGATCAAGACGCTGCAAGCTCATCTAAGAGATATCACCTACTGCCCCAAAACCCACGTTTTTCGACAAGGTGTCACGGACGAGGTTGAAGAGTACAACTTTGATGAAAAAATTCACCTGAAGCACGGAGAAGTTGTCATTGAGCTCCAGATTGTCTGTGCCAAGCTGGCTCCATCTCTACTCAAAAACCTGGGCGACAGTGAACCCTGTACCTTTTGCACCTACTCCTTTTATTTATTTAAGATGCATTCGACTCCAGTGGTGGTTGGCAATAGGCCCAATTATGACTACAAATCCAAGTATGTGGTTAGCATGGATGACCATTTTCTTAACTACCTCAGCAGAGGCTCTGTTACAGTTGACCTTCACCAGGCTATAGGTGCAGACTGGAGAACACTGGCAAGTGGACAACTTCCATTGCAGCAGTTGTTAAAGCAAGACAGAAAGATCCATGGGACAATACAACTGGACAGCGCTGAACTAGGGAGCGTTGGCTCGGTGGATTACTGGATGAGGCTCGTGACAGAATCAAGGCAATCGATAAAAGATACTGTGATTCCTGGGGGTGACATCAGTTATTCTCTGTTAGCAGAAGCACAAAATCTGCATCTGCTGCCAAAAGTCAAATACAAGACAATAACAAATGGCAGGCATGCCAAAGGGTCACATTCGTTAATCCCGCAGATAACCTGAGGAGTTTTACATTCGGCATCCATTAAAAACAAGGTTTTTAATGGAAAAATGTAAAACATATGAAACGTAGAAAGTGGGCATTTTTAATGGAAAAATGTAAAACATATAAAACGTAGAAAGAGGGCAGTCTTTTTTTTAAAAAAAAAAAAAAATCATCATTATCACTGAGGAAATAGTTTGTGAACACACACGCTCTGTTTTTGAAAGAAAAACATCAAAGTCAATGTAAGTCAATGTCAGTGTTTTTTTGTTTTTTTTTGTTTTATGTACAGTGTCCTTGGGTGACTTCAAAGGCGCTTTTAAATAAAATGTATTATTATTATTATTATTAAGGACTTTAAATGTATGTCAATTTTGCTATTTTGCGCGAGAAATGACAAATAAAAATTTTAACGAAGAGTGAAAAAAGTAAAATCTAACAGTAAAAAAAAAAAAGGCTCACCCTTAGCCCTCATGTACAGTGTCCTTGGGTGACTTCAAAGACGCTTTTAAATAAAATGTATTATTATTATTATTATTATTAAGGACATTAAATGTATGTCAATTTTGCAATTTTGCGCAAGAAATGTCAAATAAAAATTTTAACGAAGAGTGAAAAAAGTAAAATCTAACAGTAAAAAAAAACGGCTCACACTTAGCCCTTAAAAAAAAGCACAATTAACTAGGTAAACTCCTGATCTTTATCTGATATATCAGACAGACGTCATCATTTCAATCTGCAATGAATCATTACCTTGTTAAGGACTGAATTCAGGATCATTCCCAAAATCGCAGTGGACTGAACTTGAAATTGAAATTGCAGGCTGATCCAAATTCTGCGAATTTCCTTAAGACAACTCATAATATAGCGAACTAGTGTGTAGTGGCCTCCCTGGTCCTGTATGCCTTATCCCTACATCCTCTGGGCCTCCTCTCTATGAGATGATGGATGGTCCCCTCGTGTCCGCCAAGACCTGGATTGTGGCCTATCTGACAGAATTGGAACATGCACATGTTCATTTTGTTGGGCTCCAGCAATGGTAGTGGTCCTGCTGCTGGGGTGGTGCCCTGCTACAGCCTCTACTCTCCACATCTCCAACTGTACTAGCCCATCTCCTGGCATATCCTCCCTGGTCTTGACAGAGCTACTGGAGTAGCTGCAGTTCCAACCGATGTGGGCTGCATGATACCCCTCGTGGTAAGGGCACTATAAAAACTTGCCAATAATCAACCAGAGAGAAGGAAATGATTGTCCTGGTCTGTTCAAGGGGCTCAGTCATCGAGGTCATTTAAGCAACTGGACAAATGTAGCTGCAGTTCCAACCGATGTGGGCTCAACCAGAGAGAAGGAAATGGTTGTCCTGGTCTGTGCAGGTGCTCAGTCATCGAGGTCATTTAATCCAAAAAAATAGTAACATCGAAAGCAACTGGACAAACGTCTTCAAAAAAAAACCTACTTTGCCCAGTTGTTTCGGATGTAGCTATTTTTTGGGGTTGTCCTGGTAATTCCAAACCTCCTCCCCACCTGTCGTCCTAACTGAACATATTTATATCCTACTAGTTTGACTGACTTTGAGTTATGCTGTGATGATTGTGTTGCCTTTTTTTTCCTGTGCAGTGTATCACCTTGGCCTCCAGATCTGCCATAAATAATGACTGTTCGGAACTGCTTTTGAAGCCAATTTTTTAAGGAAACTTGTAGACCACCCTTCTTTTTGTGTTCTACTGACACAATGGTTAAGCTTTCTGCAGAAAAAAAAATACTTTGTTGTGTGCATCAGCTTGTATATGTAGGATGACCAATAAAGCTTCTTTTACCTCTTGTATATTGCAAACATTTGAAACATCAATACTTTTGAGATGTCTTAAAGCTGGTCTGTTGTCAATATAACATCTGGATCAAACTTCTGCAAAGCATCAATACAATAATTCACTTTCACTTTTTTACCCTCCCGTTGTCCTTCGCATTTTGTACATACCCGGCGTTTGCATCTTGTCCCAGGTGAGATATGCAACTCATTAGATTGACTAAAATAATAATTATATTATTATTAAAAAATAAAATAAAAAAGGGAGTGCAGCAGAGAGAAGGAATGAAATGCCTTCTAGGAAAAGAAAAGTTTGTCAAAATTTCTTAAAAACTTAAAAATGCTTTCAAAGCTGCTAAAAAAACACAATCACATTCACAAATAAAAATAAAATGTCATCCAAGGTGCATCTGTTTCTTACGCATTGCCTTTTCCATTATAGACCCATTTAGTGGATCCCAGTCCTTCGTATGCTGAGCCCCAGTAGAAGAGACAGGCATTGATGTGAAGGGAGTACAGAAGATACGTGGAGGTTCGGATAACCCTGGCATAAACAAAGGTTAAAAATGTAAGGACATGAAAGTAAACCAACATCGGAAAACAAAACGATGTACTGTTTCACACCTGTAGATGTAGGCTTTCTTCATCACAGCTTCCATTCTGTCATTGAATTCATTGAAAACCATGTACTGAAAGCAAAAAGGGGGAGGGGGACACAAACTCAAATTTTTACTTTCAAAAATACAATCAATGCCTTTTAGCAAAATTCTCAGCATTTTTGTAATAAGTCATTTTTAGATCTACCCTCTAACCCACACATGTCAAACTCAAAGGCCTGTGAGCCAAATCTGGTTCGGCTCATCATTTTAAGTGGCCCACCAGTGCTCAAAAAGACTTATGAAAATAATTTCATAATTTCAATTTTTTTTTTTTTAGGAAAAAGTCATTGCACTCCAAATACAATATTTATGATTATAGCATTGTTGGCACTACACTGTTCACTTAATACAGGGGTGTCAAAGTAAAATTAACAGTGGGCCAAATTATAAACTGGGACGAGGTTGCAGGCAAAACTCAATATTTATCGAACAGCTGACTGCAATTGTGCATATTTTGTTGATTTAATCAATTTATTGGAAAAAAGAAAGTTTTTGGAAAGACGAAAATGATCCAGACCTTTAGTAGACGTGGTATCCTGAGTAGAGAGTTCACCCCTGTAATGGTGTAAAATATCTCCATTGGAAACAAACTGATAACATCCATCTGTAACACACACAAAGAAAGACATAGCGTTGCAACTTTTTCCCTTTACCTGAATCTGAATAATACTCTATCTTGGAGTGAAATCAAACTGCTGCTCATCAAGCTGAACCGTGTTAAATTACAGGGGACACATTTGAATGTGCCTGTATACGTTTTATTACAATAAAAATGTAATTGCAATTTTCCTTCTTCGCACGTAACTTTTGGCAATCGTTTATTGTGCGGAAGATTGGCAGCTGTGCACATCATTGAATATAATGAAATAAATTAAAAATAAATTTAAAAAAAATTATTTATCTATTTTTAATAAATATTATTTATATATATATATTTATATATATATGTATATCAATTTTATTGTTGTTATTTTTTATAAATATAAGAATAAAAGTTCCCCAGTTTCGCTACATTTTTTTTCTCACCTTAAATCTCAAAGTTTGCATGTAGTTTTTCCTCATTTCCTTCTTATCACACTGTTAAGAAAGATCGTTGAATATGTTAAGCAGGCTATATTCATTATATATATATGTGTATATATATGTATACATGTATATATGTATGTGTATATATATATAATTTATATATGTATGTCTGCATATACACTGTGTATATATATATACATATATATATTCTCCCCCCCATTTACTTACCACAATGTCTCCTCCTCGGACAAACTGCAGCCTGGGCTGGAAAACAAGGATGTCAGTGACGTAGATTAAGTCACAGGTCAGGTCAATTAACAGCCATAGGTGGATATTTTCAGGGGTTTGGTAAGGAAAAGCCCAACGGACTGGGATCAGCCACATGTTCCAGTTCCATGCTGTCACCACAAAGAACAGCCAAATCACATAGATGAGGTCTGTAAGGCAGAGGAAAATCACACCTTTAATATGATCAGATCTTATTTATGTCTCACCAACATTGCTCGTTCCCCGGTTCCTAACTACAAATGACAAGAAACTGAAAGAAAAAAAAAAAAAAAAAAAACAATGATCAAATTCAAATTTGGTTGGGAACAGATGACTGGTTCCTGGAGAAAACGTTTAGGTTAAGTGTGGTTTAAAGGGGATTTTTATTACACGCAGGTACAGTAAGTCACTCGGAGATGAATCTAACTAAACTAAAGCAAAAGTACGCTGTTTTTATTACACGCAGGTACAGTAAGTCCCTCGGAGATGAATCGAACTAAATACTCAAGGATTCTAGTCGAGAAGACCAAGAAATGACTGCGGGGTATGGGTACGGGTTTTGCTTGACATATTATAGAATATTTTACTTACTAGTGAATGGGTCAATGCTGGAGGGAAAACGATAATCTAATATGGCATGAAGCCAGTTTGGCATCACCGGACGTTTGGGCAGTTCTACTTGAAAACCCCAGAGCTTAAAGTGAAGCTCTGTTTGTACTTCGGCTTCAGCTGTGATAGGTGCCTCGCTGTTCTTGTCCTCCGGTGGAGGTGGAGGTGGAGGAGGAGGTTGTGGGGCTCTGTTTGGGCCTGTAAATAAAATGCGAGATCAAAAAAAAACATGTAAGATCAGTGCATGGTGTTTATTCGTTCACATTAGCAAAGCGTTTTAGTAAACAGATTTGGAATTTCAACATTTCGTTTTCATTTGAAGACAAGTATAGTAAGTATATTGAAAGGTCATGGTAATAAATTCAGTCTATTGTTCGCACAGTGCCGACCCTGTGAAGGCCATTTCCCATTAATATTCACATAAATGACCCTTCAGAGCAGGGGTCAGGGATCTTTTTAGTAGAGAGAGCCAAATAAGTGACATCATTTAAAAGTTATTTAAATGATTTTAAAAATGATCTATCTATCTGCAATAGCACCTAAATAACTAGTGTAAAATCTCATTTTAAACGGTGCAATCAAGACAACCAAATGGAAATGAACGGTGCAATCAAGACAACCAAATGGAGATGCTGCAATGCCATAAAAAAAAATTTAAAAAAAAGAAAGAAAAAGAAGGAAAAAATATGGCGTACTTGGAGAAGAGCCTTCCTCTTCAGATTCATCGGGGTCCAACAGCTTATCTTTTTTGTGCTCTGTTCTGTCTTTGAACAACCCAACAAGCTGACTGAGGCGGTCCTGGACCACAATGCCGTAGCTTGCTGCTGATGAAGGCTGATCGCTGCAGGAAAACAGTGATTCATTATGAATTATTATTATTTGAGAGACCCCAGAGTTTTGTACACATACACAAAAAGTAAACTATCTATCCTGAATAAAAAGAACTTATAACAAATACATCACTCAGTATGGATGTTGTTACTTTTAGTTTGTCTGCCTTTTGTGGAATTCAGATGAATTCTTCATTTTATTGGAAATCTCAAGAGACATAGAAAAATGCACAGTTTATGAGTTTAAACGTTTCCCCAAGGAAATGTACCCAATTTATAATAAAATAGTTTGCATCTTAGATCATCATATATAGTTTAAACGTTTCCCCAAGGAAATGTAATGCAATGCAATTTATAATAAAATAGTTTGCATCCTAGATCATCATATACATTTTACAATCCACAAACCTATGAAAAAAAAAAATTCCTTACGCTGTTAATGTACAAACAAAGAGCAGGACGACAAAGTTGTAAGTGATTTTGCATGACCTAATTCTTCTTTCAGGTGAAATATATACCTTTAGGGGTTGTCACAAATCATTTTTATCCATATTTCCCTCACCTCCTGTACTATTTGTTTTCTTTTTTTTTCCCTTCAGGGGGGGTGGCACAGCAGATCATCTGCCTCCATCTTACCCAATTACCTTGTTGCCTTTGCTTTAAGAGCAACTAGCTCCATGTGGTCTTTCACAAAGTCTACAAAATTCCTCTGAAGTCTTCCTCTTCTCCTCTTCCCTGGCAACTCCATCTCCAACATCCCTTGTCCTATATGTTTACTATCTCCCCTCAATCCATGTCCAAATCGCAATCTCACTTCTTTCTAACTTTATCTCCAAACTGCTCCACTTCAACTGTCCCTGTGATCTGCTCATTTCTACGATACTCCTGTCCATCCTGGTCACTCCCAGTGAAAATCTTAGCATCTCCATCTCTGCCACCGCCATGTCAGCCCCTAAGTGGGTCTTCTGGACCTAGACCACCCGCATAACTTGTTTACGTACCACAGAAAGAATGCGTAATGTACATTATTTATTATGTGATTCTAAATCATGGTCTATTTTGTTAAAATGACCGGATTCTCTTTGCCGCATCTGTCTGTGACTCACACTTGTTGACGTGTTAAGATGCTTGCCTCGGTCACATGTCTTACCTACATCCGCTACCCTCTGCTACCGTCTGCTCCGGCCGGTAACACATAATACATTTAGTTGAAACCCCCAAGCTGGCAAAATGAACCAAAAAACAAAGGTCTTTGGAAAGTTTCTTTGCGTAGGGTAAAAGAGCCAGTGAGGAGACAGAAGAAAAGCCTCTATCTTTAAAAACAAAGAAAGGTGCATTTAACAGACAATTGCAGGAGTCCTGCTTGAAATATGGATTTATTGCAACAGGTTGTTCATGGCGACCAGCTCTCTAATGAAGTCTTCAAAACCTCTACGCCACTTTGAGACCAACCGTTCTGCATTAAAAGGCTTAACGTTTATTATTATATTTAGAAAACACCACAGTTTTTATGCCGGTCGTGTAATTTTATTTAGTTGTATTTATCCACAACGCCTTAAAGACCTGGTCCGTAAAAAAAAAAGATATGTTCCGACAATGAACCGATCCGTGGTGCAAAAAAAGTTGGGGACCACTGCTTCACAGCACCTAGAGGTACTTAAACTAACCAATCCTTACTACTGCTTCCCCCCTTGAGTGAACCACGTATTACAATGTCATCTGCTAACATCACGACCCAGGGAGGTTTTCTCCAGGTCCACAAAGACACAGTGCAAGTCTTTCCGATTCTCCTCTAAACTCGGTAACATGTGAACAAGGCTGTCAGTTCAAAATGAAATTTAAAATAGAAATAATTCCTAAATAACAAATTAAAATTTTCGACAAAACCAAATGAAAAAAATAAACACGCTCTAGGTCTTTAATGGACACATGTCTTTGATCAAATCAACAATACAGTTTTGCATCTGTTATTTCAACACGTCTTTGACAGGTAGATGGATATAACGCTGCCCAGTGGAGGGCTGCTATTATGGTTGTCTGGGTTAGTGCTGGACAAAGACGGGGATTAATGCGTTCATCTTATTTTAATTTGTGGTGTTTTTTTTTTTTTTTGGTGGTTGAATGGGTTAATTGTGTCTTTTGGTTGAGAAAATGTTTAATTTCTTGTGGCAGAAGCCGAAATCGTGACCACGAATTAAAGTCATTTTGCAGCCCTACTCCACCAGGTCATGTCATCTGGACTGCAAGCCTTTTCACACTTCATCCTCCTCAAAGCGGTCCTTGATTTTTACTATCTCCCTGTACTTTCAGATTGACTACCTTTTTCCTTATTCACAAGCTCTTCAAATCATCTTTCCATGTTCTCAGCACACTCTATCGCTCTGTTTAACTAACTGATTCAAATCCTTCTCTTCTTCCTTATTGTATGGATCTATCCGTCCGTGCCTTTGTCACTGCTATCTTGGCTAACCGGCTCTCTTTTAGCCTGACAGTATTCTTGTCTATTTCCCTCATCTGCCTGACCATCTCACATTATCTTAACTCTCCTGTACATCTTGATTCATTGTCCTTGTCATCTTTTCCCACTGTTCTCATGTCACACCTTCCTGCCAATTTCCCCTAACTGCCTCACTTGCATGCAGGCCTACTTATATTTCCTAAAAATACACAAGAGTAGAACGGGAGACAGAGCATTAGGTTACCAGGCTCCCCACCTCTAGAACCAGCTTCCAGTGGGATTCGTGAGGCTGACACAATCTCTGTATTCAAAGTTAGACTTAAAATCATGTCACACCTTCCTGCCAATTTCCCTAACCGGCTCACTTGCATGCAGGCCTACTCATATTTCCTAAAAACACACAAGAGTAGAATGGGAGACAGAATGGCTCCCCACCTCTAGAACCAGCTTCCAGTGGGATTCGTGAGGCTGACACAATCTCTATATTCAAAGTTAGACTTCCTTTAAAAAGAAAAATCATATTCATAGGGCTGGCTCAAGAACTGAGTTATCCTTGATAACTATGATGCAATAGTCCCAGACTGCTAGGGGAACACTCATGGCTCAGATTCCCTCCTGTTAAAAGAGAGGTTTTTTTTTTTTCTTCCAATTTTTACTAAACTTCTTACTAACTTTATCCTGCTTTAGTCTGTGTTGTTAATGTAAACTCAATCTAAACATTGACTTTGTACGGCTCTTTCTCCATGTACATTTTGTTCTTACGTTGGATTTCTTTCTGCATTTAGGTAAAGTCAATCAGTCCTCGTTTCAATTTACTAATAACTTGCTAACTTTTTATAACCTTTACCTGTTTAGTTCAACCCACGCTGATAGACTTCAGGAATTGAAGAAAGATGCACAAAGATCTTAGACCGATTAGGTGAAATTGAGCACTTTTCAATAGTGCGCAAAATAATTTCTAAGGACACACTAACACGCTTTGGAACAGTGCTGGGGAAATACTGTTCTGTTGTACTATTATGTGAGTACAGTATGAGTATTACCTGGGATTTGAAATCATTGTGTCAACCATATTTGGAGGAGTAAGTGGTGGTTGTGGAGTTATCTGCTCAGCATCCTGAACGACATGCTCAATCTTCAGTGTTGGGACATCAGCACATACTGGAAAAAAAAAAAAAAAAAGCAATGCACAGTGGAAATGTAAAGCCTCACACATTTTGAAAAATGAAATTAGGTGTACAAAATTCTTGCAAGAATTAAATGCAAAAAGTTACTCTACAATAAAAGTTATTATTAAGAACTTTGTGGGGAGTGGATGTAAGCAAACACGAGCAGGCAAATTAAAACAAAAAAAAAACAACAAAAAATTAAATTAAAACAAACATGGTCAGCAAATTAAGATACAATTACATGTGTAATTGAGAGTTAGGCCAGTACTCCAAGGGAGTAGAGGTGACATTTTCACTGGAAGTGACCAGGATAGAAAGGACTAGAAATGAGCAACTGGACGGAGTAGGTTTCTTGAAGACATTTCACCTCTAGTGACTGGACTGGACTGGTATGTTTTTTTTAAAGCGATTCACTTCTAGTAGGTTTCCTGAAGATATTTGATCTCTCATCCAGAAGGCTTCTTTAGTTCCGACCAACTAACCTCTTGGACGAGAGGTGAAATGTCTTCAAGAAACCTACTCCATCCAGTTGCTCTCGATGTAACTATTTTTTGGATAAGATGACCTGGATAACTGCAAACCTACACAGACATGATTAGAAATGAGCAGATCAGATGGACAGTTAGGGGGAACAGTTTGGAAATAAGGTGAGAGAGAGATGTTGAGATGGTCTGAACATACTGAGGAGCGATAGCGAATACAACAATGATGTTGGAGATGCAGGTAAGAGAAAAAGAGTAAGACTGTTGATAAGATTTATATACAGAATCACCAAGGTATATACTGATGCATTCCTTTTCGCTATAGTCCTGGGGTCGTTATATACATATGTTTATAAAATAAAATTGTGTTTTCATGAGACCTAAAAGAAAATCTGCCTCCAGATACTGCTCTATTCCTCTTTAATGTACATTGTTACAAAATGAGCCATGGTATTTGGTTTGCTCGTCGGGTTGCTCACAGTGTGTAACATGAATGGTTTGGTGGTTAATCATTTATAGCATTATCATAACAGAACAAAAACCCATTCACAATGCCCTTAATTATGATATATTTGTAAAAAAAATAAATTTGAGCTCTTACCTTCGCATGCAATTTGGTTTTCTGCTGCTTCATTCAAGCCCTTT